GCATAAAAGAATTAGAGAATTAACAGGAATGAGAAAAACACTTCAAACTAGGCAAATAAGAGATGAAAGGGGGGCACTTATAACAGATATAAACCAAAAAATACAGAGATGGACACAATATATAGCACAACTTTTTGAAGACAAAGAGAGAACAGAAGCACCAAAAGAATTTAAGGATGATACTGGGCCTGACATTATACGAGAAGAAATTGAATATGCATTGAAACAAGCTAAAGGTGGTAAATCTCCCGGGCCTGATGAAGTTCCTATCGAATTACTTAAATTTGTGAATACTGAATCTATTGATCTTCTTTTGGATCTATTCAATACCATATATAGAACAGGTATAATACCTAACGAATGGCTCCAATCAACATTTATACTGCTTCCCAAATAAGCCAATGCAAAGGAGTGCAATAAACATCGCACCATAGCCTTAATGAGTCATGTCTTGAAATTGTTTTTAAAAGTAATTCACAATAGAATACATAAGAAATTAGATGAAGGCATAAGTAATACACAAATGGGATCTAGGAAAGGACTGGGAACACGAGATGCACTGTTTGCAGTAAGTGTTCTTTCGCAGAGATGCTTAGATATTAATCAGGAAGTATATGCCTGTTTCATTGATATTAAGAAGGCATTTGACAGAGTGCAGCATAATCGACTTAAAGAAATTTTATTAAATAAAAACATAGACAGTAGAGACATTAGAATCATCTGTAACCTCTATTGGAATCAAAGAGCAAAAGTGAAAGTTGAAAACGAACTGACCAAGGATATCCAGATTCGCCGTGGGGTCCGCCAAGTGTGTATTTTATCACACTTGTTATTCAATTTATACAGTGAAGCCATCTCAGAATTAGCGCTTGCCGAGATCAGTGAGGGCCTTATAATAAACGGTAAGCCACTTAATAACATAAGATATGCTGACGACACCCTCCTTCTGGTAGGAACACTAGAAGAACTGCAACACCTTGCTGAACAACTAAATATACAGGGTGGTCCTTAAGTAATTGTACAAAAGAAACCGCAGATTCTATACTTTAAAATATTACGATTTAAGCCAACTTGCTTTAATAAAATATTGATATTAAAAAAGATACAGGGTGTTAAAATGAAAATTTAAAATTTTATTTTTCGCTATAACTTTCATGTTTGTAAACACTTATATACAAAAATTTACAGCTGGATACTATTTAATATCTGAAATTATAATTTGATGAATACCTTGATATAGCTAATAGAGGGCGCCACATATGCCACATACGTGGCATAAATTTGCACTTAACTTTTTTGTTCTTTAAGATACCGGTATTTAAAATAAAAAATATTAAAGATACATTATTTTAACAACAAAAAGGTATACTTATTAATAACTCTAAAACTCAATAGTTTTCGAGATAATCGCATTTTACAAATCAACTCCATAATTCTGATTTAAGGCAATTACTCCAGTCAATGAAAGAAAAATAGATAAAAACATGAATACTTCTGAATTTTATTATAAAATACCTTAATAAAGTCAATAATTAACGAAATATTAAATAAAATAAATATATCAGCAGGATAATTAATAATAGGATTTGATAAAATACCAGAATAATTGGATTTTACATCAAACATTTTATCTTAATTTGTATTAAATTAAAGTCATAATCAAAAATTTCTTTAATTCATTTGTCAATACATTCCATAAAATATCGTCTCATATTAAATAGCGTCATTGGTTCTAAAGAAACTGCTGCAGTATTTATTATAAGTGTTATGAGTATAATAATAAGTAATTTTTTGAAATGTTTATGAATTAAATAATTATATTAATATCTCACCACAAGAATATGACTACCATGAACAATCCAACGTTCAGGAAAGTTTAAAGAAGTATTTAAATACTGTCTCACTCCGCTTTCTCTGTAATGTAATGGTGTACCATCTTGTAGAAACCACATATTTCGCCTTAAGTTTGATGACAATTCTTCCAATAAATCAATAAAATCATTTTGTAAAGAATGTAAATAAATCTCACCATTCAAATTGAAAGGTAATTCGCATAGCATACCGAAACGGTACCATTTATATGCACCTTATCAAAGAAACATACTTTGTTGAAATATCATTGTATTGTAATTCGACCTATATCAGGACCAGTAATTTTACCAACAATGCGGTCTGAGGAACAGTTATAAAAAGTAAAATGTTGTGGAAATTTTTTTAATCGCTGTTCTCTAAACTAAGCACAAGTAAGTTAAAATATTTTCATATCAAATGTCGACATAGGATTTTTAGTCTGGTCAACCTTGTTCAGCTTAAAATCATTCTTGTTTGTATAAATTTGTTTACCGAAGCTAAATAATTCTAAATATATACATATATATATATATATATATATATATATATATATATATATATAATATATATATATATATATATATATATATATATATATATATATATATATATACGAATAACGACATTGTTTTGTTGACCACATGAGTCATGATTTATTGCAATCCCATCTCTAGAGGATATCTATTATAATGCTGTAAAACTATTTTTTTTGGTTATTTTATAGCATTATTAGCAATACAAATAAGTAAATAAAATTAGTAATATGCTTTATTGTCACTGAAAATTGTATAAATTTTACGGACAAAGCGTATAACAATACGACAAGAAAGAAGAAAAAAATCAGAATAAGAATTGTTTGTAGTTTTAAATAAAAAAAAACAGTAAAATTCTTCCAAACTTAAACATAAAAAACTTCCTAATTAAGAACCTACAAACTTCGTAAAATATATCTGACAAAAAATAAAAAAGGAAAGCAGATTAATGAATTAAGGGCTCAAATATTCCACCTCCTTGTGCTAAACAGTAACCAAATCTGTCATTCAGATTTCTCCTCATATTTTGGAGTAGGGCTGGTGTAATGCTTGCAGAGAAATTAAGTATTTTTGCCCTTAATTCGACTAGGTTTGTGGCCCTTTCAAACTGATGCCTATAAATGTTTTCTTTGAGAAAAGCCCAAAAAAGAAATTGTTAGGCGCTAAGTCACAGGATCTAGCGGGCCATGTAATTGTACCACGTGTACTTATCAGTCGATGAGAAACGTTTGATTGAGGAAGTCAATAGTTGCTCTAAAGTTGTAATAATAAAGTAATAATTTGAGAGCTTGGTTTAACTGCACTTCTGCTGACCTCTTTAGAGCAGCGGCGTCGAAAGTGCGAATTGCCATGATGGTTACCAACCTTCTTAGAGGAGATGAAAGTATTCTTCTAGAGAAGAAGAAGTAAATCGAACTGTGGGACTGATCTCATTCTGTAAAAGTTGTAAATATTTGGGCCCGTTTAGGTCTCCATCAAGAAAAAATGGACCGACAATATGGTCGCCTAGCACCCCAGTCCAAACATTTAACTTTTGCGGATGCTGCGTTCGCACTGCAACACTAAGGTGCTTATTAATAATACCTTGAGTACCGAGAATAATACCTTGCAATGGATGGATTGTATTTTTTATGTAATGACAATGAAGATTCGTCAGAAAATAAAATATTTTTTAAAAAGTGTACAATTTTATTTTTGTTTATTTTGTTTTTGTTTGCATAAATGCACAAAACTTCATCCGCCTAAAGTTATTTTCCGGAAAAAGTTCTTGTCTTGGTTGTATCTTTCCTTTTAAGAACTCGCTGGACAGTTCGAGCATTCACGGTAACTTTTCTAGCGATTTGTACACTATTGCAGGGTTCACTAGCTTCCAAAAAAGCACAAATACCGATATCCCTGTTTTGACGGTCCTCATCGGCAGGTATAACACGTGATTCACTACCTTCATGACACTTTTTACAACTGTTTATACACCCCGAAGTTTAAAAATGTTTAATGGTATTTTTAACTGTTGTTGTTGTAATACTTGGTGAGGGTCTATTTTCGAAGGCAACAATAAACAAATGCATTACTTCGCGTATCGAGTGACCCTGAAAGAACCATGTTACAAGTTGCACTTTTTCTTGGACGGTATACAACGTAATAGGCATTTTATTAATTATTTGTTTATTCTTTCAGAACTTCGTTTGAAATTTTTAATGTCAATGTGACAATTACGACAATTGTACCTACTGTGAAATGAATATAGAGGTAGGTGGAAACGTGTAACATGTCACAGCGATTGCCATTGTGTTGTATGGTCAAAAAAAACAATGTTGTGATCTGTATATATATATATATATATATATATATATATATTATATATATATATATATGTATATATATATATATATATATATATATATATATATATATATGTATATATATATATATGTATATATATATATATATATGTATATAAATATATATATATATATATGTATATAAATATATATATATATATATATATATATATATATATATATGTATATATATATATATATATATATATATATATATATTTAAAATGCCTTTTACCACTAAAGTAATAAAATTCATATAAACATTCAAAGTCGAAACTCATTTGACTATGAAGCATATGGAATCCTAAACAATAAATCAGAATAAGGAACGATCTACTTTAGAATCGAAAAATTCAGTGATACTATTTGTGATCTACAGCTTTGATCGATATTTTAAACACAACAGAATTTTGAAATATAGGTATGTATAGGTGCATTTAGAAAAGCAAACTAAAAATTTTATATAGAATGGCTAAGGAAGTCGTTAACATTGATGTAGAATAAGTACATAAATCATTTATATTTATCTGGCCAAACATTTATTAGGGGCTTGAGTAATAAAAATGATACAAACGAACAAAAGTTTTTGATACTTGTGACATTTTCCGAAAATGTTTGTTCAAAATTAATACGGACAATATACCTTTATATTTTGATTATATATTTACTATTATATATTGACAATATATAATAGTAGATGTCATTCCAATAAATTTCAACAATTTTTTATATAAGTAAACAATAATGGTACAATTATGAAGGTAGAAATACAAACCACTGCATCCTTTGTCGGCGTGGTATGTGACGTAGTCTTGTCAAATATAGAAACTTGTTTGGAAGCGCTGGTAGTGGTTGTTTGAGGTACAGTTTCAACTTCTTGTTGTCTTTTAGCTTTGGGGTCTGTAGCAACTCCAGCTTCACGTAGTTGGGGGTCTTGTGTTCCTGCAGGCTTAAATTGATCTTCAGATGTACAGGGTCTTTCTGTAATTAAATAAATCAATGAATGTTTTATAAAAAACTGGCAGCGCGAAATTGTGAAAACATTGCGTAACCGAATTATTTTGTTTTAGATGTAGTTCTGGTCATGAATGTAAGGTAGATAAATTTTAAGATAGATTCATATCAAGGGACTATAATCAATATTATAACTTCGGAGAAATCATTGAATATTGTAATCATTCATCACAATGCTCAACTATTTTTCTAGAATATTTATTTAAATATGATTTTCTGGGTTTCTAAGATGTGGATTAAAATTATTTCTTTATTATGTATATGTCATCTGCAATTGCGGTACTCATCATCTAACGTTCTCTAAAAAGAGTTTGGGTAAAAAAAATGAAAAAGAAGATTTTTATGATGTACTAAAAATTTTGGTGGTAAATAAAAATTTAGTTAATTTTAAATATTATTACGTGATTTAAATGACAGAATAGAAAAAAAAAGTAAGACTTAAAATAAAAATTTAATGAAAGAACCAACAACGATAACTAACAAAAAATGGAAAAATCTACATAAAAATCTACAAATCTACATAACAAATAAGCTTACAATAAAAAAATATATTATCATAAGGTTTAACACAAACACATTTAAAAATATAAGAAAACAAAAATTAATGATAGATTATGTAGTCATTCAGCATAAACAGAAAGTGAATGTTAAAGGTCTGATGTCACACAATTTAAGAAGTGATCATTGTTTGGTATTTTGTAATATTAGATATAATGAAAGATTCGATATTCGGAATGGGTTTTTTGTTTTATCATAAATTTTTACTATAACAAAGTCCTTGCCACTTAAATCAGATAATCCACTTTCAGCACCACTTTCACAAAAACCCAAATCACTTCTGCCATCATAAAATAAAATATGCTACTCCGACAGAATTCATTTTCATTTTTCTATTATTTATCTGATTTTTTCTTCAAACACTTTTGTTGTTTAATTTTTCTTAATGCTCTCCTTAGAGAGCAAGATTGCTCCTTTTTTTAAGAGTAGCAATTTTTTCCATAAACCTGCTTGAATAACCTACAGACCTGGTATTCTGTGACCACTTGTTCAGGATTAGATATTATTCAGTTATCTTATAAATCATAATAATACTAGTGTTACATAGTGTTATAAAAAAGTTTCTGTCCTACGGTGAAGTTCTACGGCTGCTATGTGGTAGAAGGCTGAGCAAACGAAAGGCTTTTAGAGTGATATTAAAAATTTAACTATTTAAAATTAATAAAACAGGTCTATCAGGGTTATCATTGTATGCTTACAAAAATGCTTTAAAAATACAAGAAATTTTTGTGATTTCTTGTATTCAGAATCGATTACAGCCAAAGCAGAAACCATTGGACCTTCCCTTTTTTAAATCAGTATTTAATATTTTGAGTGAAAAAATAAAAAATAGTGAAATACAATGTCCCATTCCATTCATAAAACAAAAAATTTTTATAGTTTTTCCTTGCCCGGCAACTATATTTTAGCTACTTCTCTTTTACCATTGGGAGAAATCAGGTAATTTATTTGGTAGTCTGAAAACACCTTCCGTTTTTATTTTAAATTTTATCAGCGAAAAATGTATGTCTTTAAATAATAACTTTTAAATTTTTAAAATACTGTGACAACTGCTGTTTACTAAATCCCATTATACTTGCTCCACCGGTTTATTAGGTGTACCTAGGCATTGAAAGACGATTTTGCTTCATAAAGTTTCCAGTGCAATCTCTACCCACTAGTTTTAATTTCTTAGGCAATTAATTATTGATCATCACATCAATATTAAAAAGAGCATAAAATATTTATACGATAGAGCAAAAATTGCTCATTTTAACGAAAATTCGTTCTTAGATTAGAATTTTTTTTTATTAACATCTGTCTTATTAAAAAAATGATTATTCTTTATCGTTTCTAAATAAAGAATTGTCAACAATCAAACGAATGGAACAAAATAACTTAAAACGAGATCCTACAGCATACACACCGAATAACACGGGGTACATAACAATATCATATATAGAAGTAACAGAAAAACTTAAAAAAGATAGGAAATTATGCCAACATTTCAACGGCATTGATATTCTCAAATTAAAAATGATTGCATGTATTCGAATGAACTATCTTACAATAAAGTCGTCCCAGGAACGCAACTCAGCAATATTTTAACGAAGAAAAATATTAAATTCTTCAACTCGTTATGCAGGGTAAAGTATTTGGCAGGAGAGGACCGGGACGCCGTGGTATCTCGTAGTTGAAAAACCTCCGACAATGATTTTGGGATGACCTCCGCGGGGCTGTTTCACAGAGCAGTCAACAAAACCATTATAGCCTCAATAATCATTAACTTTCGGACTAGACAAGGCACCGAAGAAGAAGACAAATACAAAATGGTAAAATTTCACTGTCAGTTTCAGATAAAATGTCATGCTCTGGATTACAACAGACCTTCACATTTAGAAATGGGCAGTTGCTCATATAAATAGTGGTAATCTTCTGGTATTTCTTTAGTTTGGCACTGTTTCAATAAAAATTTCCTCTTAGTTTCAGCAATTCGCAATTTTTTAGAGTTAAGTTTTCTTAGTTTATTCCGAAAGCTTCTCTCTGACTGATCTATTCCTCCTGACAACACGAATGGTCTCTTCATTCAGTTTAAGTGTTCTGTATTCTCCAATGTAATTATATCTAAGAAAACTAAGATCAAAATAAAACATGGCATGCCACCATGTTTAATTTTTTTTGTCATCGTATTGTATTCGTTAAACCCTGTCACAAACACCACCACAAATTGCTCAAAAATTACCAGAATAAACTTTAGATTTAGGTGGAGGCGCAGTACTAATTACTAAAACTGCTTACTAAAACCAATTAATTTTTTTCATTAATTGTTGCTGTTATTTGCTGTATTTTATAATTTCTAATATATTACAAAGCTAAATGTATCTTTCGTGTAGGAGAATCGTAATTCTTTTGTAATGTACTGCCTATTTTTTTTCTATTTCTCGTTCGTCGCGTAATTTTAAATATACTTAACAATTTTTTCATCAAGTAAACTGATACGTACTTTTGGCAGGATTTATTAGCACTATGAAGTGAATCATATTTAAGATAGCTATGGTCTTTCTGTATAAGTATGTGTTCGATAACATTAAAATGTAATTTTTGAACTATCTATACAAATACTGATTTCGATTTTAGCCTGAAATGAGTCTGAAATAATGATTACATTACAAATTAACATTATTAACCATGATTACCTCCGTAATCATGGTTAATAATGTTAAAAACCAGTTTACTAAGGTTATGCCAATCTCATAGCTACCTCATTCACTAAAGCAATAATTATTATATATGTACCCTTTTATGCATCAACGTCGGTGAGTTACCCGATGCCTGTGTCACATCCTTCTCAAATTCTGTCGTCCAAAATTAGAGAACGCGTCGCGAGAGACGTCGTTTTATAAGAGCGTTGAATTTAGTTGGTGCTTTTTTAAATTAAATATATTAAATTAATTATTATAATTATATATTATATAAACAATATTAAAGCAATAATAGTAATGTTGCTTTAACAACCAATACTGATGATATGGATCAACTTAAGGGACGCTTTATCCAACGAAAGAAGTAATTGGTGACTACCAGTAGAAGAAGAAGATCGAATGGATGACAGATGAAATATTACACCTTGTGGACAGAAGGAGGGAAAATAAGAATAATTCTGAACAATATAAAGAACTGGATAGAACTGTCAGCTAAAAGATAAAGAATCCAAAGAGGAATGGTTACAAGAAAAATGTCAAGAGATTGAAGAGTAAGAACGAAGACACGATGGTTTTAACATGCATAAAAATCAAGGAGTTTACTTATACTGACAAGAAAAAACAGTTTCGTAGGTTAATAGACGAGAACAACAAACTTACTGTAGATAAAGAAGAACAGTTACAGACTTGGGCAAATTACATAAAAGATTTGTTTACGGATTATCGTCATATTTTTATGAACACTCTTGATCTGAATGGACCAAAAATATTGGAAAGTGAGGTGATAAAAGCTATAGATCAAACGAAAGATGGAAAAGCAACAGGATGTGATGAAATACCAGTCGAATTTTTAAAAGTTTTTAACGAGAATAACCTGAATGTAGTATTGAAACTGTTTAATAAGATACGCAATAATGGTCAAATTTCATCGGACTGGTTGAAATCTATATTTGGGCCCCTTCCCAAGAAATCAAATTCTAAGACGTGTACTGAATATCGCCTTATAAGTTTAATGAGTCACATCCTTAAAGCATTCTTGCGTATTATCCATTCCAGAACACAGCATAAGTAAAACACAGTTTGGTTTTAGATGCGGTTTTGGAACTCAAGAGCCCCTCTTTGCAATACAAGTCTTGATTCAAAAATGCCGGGATCAACAGAAAGATGTTTACTCCTGTTTTATCGACTATGAGAAAGCATTCGATACTATCAAACATGATAAACTCATAGAGCTATTATATCTTACAGGACTTGACACTAAGGACATCCAGATTTTAAAAAAGCTATATTGGAATCAAACAGCCCACATGAAGAATGGACATATGGTGAGTGAAAACGTAGCCATTTCGAGGGAGGTTAGACAGGGCTGTATTCTTTCGCCAGTTCTTTTCAACCTGTACACGGAACAAATACTTTTAGAGGCACTGGAAATATCAAAACCATAGATTAAATATATATAAGTAGATCAAAACATAAATATGACCAAACGCAACATGTCATACACATTCTTGTACCTCGTGTGGCCTGACTTAAAGGGGTCGCCTGAAAAATGTATTGTATTTTTACAAAATTTTGCAATATATTTAATTCGTTAGAACAATTTTAACATTTGTTTTTAATACGTAATTCAGTCCTTTACAAATAGTTTATTATGACTTTCAATGTAAAATAATTAGGGAAGCAGGAATTCAACAATTTAAAATTTCCCATTGAATTTCCTATGGCCCGTTTAGCGATTCACCACCCGGTATATATCATCATCAATAAGAAAATCGCGTCCACTGCTGGACATAGGCTTCCCTCAGTTCTTTCCAGTGTTCTCTACTACACTGGGCTGCTTGTAGCCAGTTTCCCGCTACACGTTTATATATACCGGTATATATATATATATTATATATATATATATATATATATATATATAGTAGTTTTGAGTTTCTTTGAACCGTATTATATATATATATATATATATATATATATATATATATATATAATATATATATATATATATATATATATATATATATATTAACAAATTGTATTTATAAATACATATTAAATTTAGTTAATAGCTTTAAAAACTAATTATTGTTGTGTATTGTGATTGTGATATGCCAAAACAAATAAATAGTCTGTAAAAAGCTGATAAGCTTTCATATAAGATAGATTATTTTGAACAAGAAATAATGGCGGGAAGTTTTTCTTATTAAAGCCCTAAAAGAGGTAAGTTTAAAATTTAGAATATATTATAATCTATTAAATTTGTGTTAAAATGTTTTCTTATGTATTTTAATGTGTTGCAGTAGTCTTAAAACTAAATGTATTTACTGTTAATATAATAGTTTAACAAATAGTTGACATTTTAAAAATTCGTCACTTACTAACTATTCTGATGTTTTGGCAACGCTGTGGGGTTCTGACGACGTAAATCTTGAATGACTGACGTGCAAGCTTTTTTATATGAAAAATGGTATACACACAAAAACCTAATTTGACAAAAACAATGCCTTTTTATCTATGTATTTCAAAAAGACAAACGAAATCAAAAATAAGAATAATTTTAACCCCGACACTCTTTTGAAGGGTTTAAAAAGTTTCGAGAAAGTAGTTAAAAAGTTTATTCTATAATCTTGCTAGGGTACTAGACATTATGCATATAGCAAGTAAGGTAATTATAAGTAACATAACATCAGGCTCTTGGCTTATGCTTCTTACTTACTTGTAATTGGATTTTTGCACGGTTTTCCAGATTTAGGACAAATCACGATTTCTTCAAAATCAGGTCCAGTAGTAACAGCTTTGTTTTGGCATGTAATGTCATTACAGATTTCTATATCAAATTCGCCTAGAAGAGTAAAGGTGTTTTTAAAACTAAGTCTAAAGTTGTTTCTAAAGCATACCTTTCATAAGAGAAGATTTTGGCATGGCAACTGTCTCCTGCTTTGGCACCGAATGTTCTCTTTTTGTTGTTGGTAGAAAAGGTCTCGCCTCATCTGGCTTACCCGTTGCTTCGGTAATTTCTGTTTGGACCTAAGTTAAATATAAAAACAAATAAATTTAAAAAACTCTTTTATGTATATTGTATTTATACTAGAAAAAATTGTCAATTCTCTTTAATCCCTTGATGGAAGTAATGAAACGATTCACCAGAATATACTTCTTTAGTATTTTTTTTTAAATAAGGATAAGTAAAAGTTATTCCAAAAATCAGACTAAAACAGTCGTGGAATATCAGATTAATAAATACAAAAATATGCAACTTTCTAATTAAAACGGATAGATATCTGCGACTTATAAGAAAGAAAAGAAATATCATTCAATTATTTTAGGAGAAAATATCTTTACAGTAAAGTAAGCAAGCAAACTAGAACCAAAGAAGGAGTACCAATGACACCAATGAGTGTCAATGAATTGACAATATGTAGAACTAGAACGAGCTATTGACCAGGTTAGAGCAAAAATGATAATAATAGGAGGTTTAACGCACGAATAGGCAATACAGTAACTCGTAATAAAATCGAGATGTAACAAAACTTCTTCTTTTTCAGTGCCTTATCCGGTCTGGATGTTGGAGATCATCAAGGCTATCATGGTTTTTTGACTGCTCTGCGAAACAGCTCCGCCAAGGTCATCCTAATCCATTGTCGGAGGTTTTTTAACCACGAGATACGAAGGCGTCCCGGTCCTCTCCTGCCAAATACTTTATCCTGTATAACGAGTTGAAGAATTCAATATTTTTCTTCGTTCCGTATCACTTGAACGAGGTACTCAAGCTTACATTGTTTCACTTAATTAAGCACTTCTTTTTCTTTTCTCATGCGCTGTAGAACCTCAACGTTGGTGACATGGTCCACATACAATATTTTTAGTATCCTCCTGTAGATCCACATCTCGAAGGCATTAATCCGCTTTTCTGTGGCTTGCGTCAGTGTTCAGGCTTTCTCCATATAGTAATACTGGAAGATTGTAGCCCCTCACTATCCGCATCTTGGTTCCCAAACTGAGATCACTTCAGCACAGCAAGGATCTCAACTTGATGAATGTAAACCGTGCCATTTTAATTCTGGTTCTAATCTCTTGAGCGTAGTCCCATTGTGAGTTGAGGGTAGTTCCGAGGTAAGTGATTCTGTCGACTCTCTGCATCTATTTGCTGCCTGCTATTAGTGCCGCAGAATCTACATTTGCACGGCTGACAACCTTGGATATTTTGTTTTCTTAATATTAAGGTTTAGTCCGTATGTTACGCTCATAGTTCTCACTCGGTCTAGTAAGGCTTGTAGATCATTTAGGCTGGTTGATAGTAACACAGTGTCATCGGCGTAGTGGATATTATTGATGTATTTATCGTTCACTCAAAATACCATCTCTAGGTTTGTAAGGGTAACAAGACTGTTCAACATAAAAACAAACCAAACACATAATAAATAATACATTTTTCAAGAAAAATTATCAACACAAATATACATTAGCAATACCTGAGGTCAAAATGGATGATATTACGGTATAGTAAACAAAAAAATACAACAATGTGTTCTATTATGTAAAATTCGAAGAATATAAAATAAAACAAGATTGTAACATTAACACAAAACAAAAATTCATAGAATATCTGTGCCAAAAAATATTTCATAGAAGATTGCCAGGAACAAAATATTAAAAATCGGTAAAATATTAGAAGTGCAACATGCTTGATACAGCTTTAAATAAACTCGATAAAAACCTTAGTTTATAGAGCAGGTAAAGATAAAATTCTCGATAAGAAAACAATCCAAAGTTTTTACGATGTGGAATGCAACAACCACAAAAAGCATACAATCACTATACAATAATTCTAACAAATAAAAATAAAACACATTCAGAT